AACTTAAATTATGACGTTCTGCAAACATTCTGAGACTGTTTTCGTATAGGTTTACATATTTATCCATATCTTTTATGAGATTCACTTATTAAAGTTTACATTAATTTTATGAGGAAAATGAAAATAAAATTCAGATTCAGATTTAAGAATCAATTAAATAATCCTAGACTCTTGATCATTCCTCAAGAACTTTTGCCAGGAGAGACTTTATTTTAGCCATGATGTTTTTAAGCTTTTTTAAAATTTGCCTGTATCAAATATCATTCGTGTATTCTGGAAAAGGGTTGACTTCAATGAATAAGATACACTGATATTGCAGCAATGTAACTGAATGTGTGTAAAACGCATAACATTCTAAAACGATAGCTCAGCATTTAACACAACATACGTAGTAACAGCTGTAAGATATAAAATCTCATTTTTATGATGAAATCGACCTGAATAGAAATAACCTTAACTTCATACCGGCATTCGCTCAGATAGCACTTAAACAGTGCCAACAAAGCAAAGTAGAATAATGAAGAAGTACCGGAACCGGAAGTAAGAAATCCGTTAGATCATGGTAGATTAAACAGAGGATATATCGTACTTCGAATCTTCCATCAAATTTAAAACAAAGTTAACAGATTTGCCACAAAGGTACGTGAAAAAATCGATTATAAAATAAATGTGGCCCCATGTTTACAATAATGTAGCGACTACCTTATTCTTCGTACTTTGCGTTCGTCTGAACTGTAAAAGAGTCAGACTGGCAAAAAAACATATGCGTCAGCTATTTCCCCTAGTCGGCGTTCTAGCCTCTCCATTGGAAAATCACACAGCGAGGAAGAACCGGCCTTCGCTATTGGAGCTGATTTGTACATGGCGCATGACCAGGAAGGAATTATTTGCTCCAAACGTCTGATCAGCCAAATGAGTATGACCAGGAACCGCCAAACCTTCGTAACTCACTGAACCCTTGAAGATCACTTTAAAAACGAAGTCTCTGTGTACTGATATGTTGACCACATATGCACATCTGTATGCATTTCCAAAATAAACCCGTTCGTGATGAAACTGCAGTCAAATGTAACAATTTCAATACATTCAGATCTGAACAGCCATTTTAGAATAATTCGAAATAATATTTATAAAAAATTAATGTCTACTAAATGTTTCGTTTACTCGCCCATCTGCTGCTACTCTGATTTGTATCAAAACATTCACCAGCCATATACCTCATGAACGGAACACGTCAGTAATCACATTTGAAAAATTCGGAGGTGTCAAGTAATACATATCGCTAGGCAATGACCAAAAATTCAAGCGGCAATATCACCACAACTTTATAACAAAAATAAACCCCATCATTACGAGCTTGCTAGCAAACTGCCTGTTTTCATATCGACGGTAAGAATAACAATCTCATGTCACTTCTCTGCATTTACATGGCGTTCTTGCACAGTCTCCTTGTTTCTAGTAGCTCAGAAGGTCGTTTAAGCAGGTCACGGGTGTACAGTATTTTAGCACCTGCAGTACGTGCACGCAAAACAGAACCACTTTTTTGGGTCGAATAAAAAGGGAAAAAAGATGAGACTAGAAGCGAGGGGATGGTGCACCACACCGTGTAAATTAGAAGTACAGGAGAATGTTATAACTACTTTAAATAAGCTGTTTTGCTTTTCGAAACATATGATGATTTTTAATGACTACATTGTACTATGAACTATGTAAGTAAATAGCTGATAACAGTATTAACGCAAACATTTCTATCGCTTGCTGCAGTTGAGTGTAACGTGTCAAAATAATGCAACTGCATCTG